CTTTTTTTTTTTGTTTTCTTTGAAGAGTTTCTTAATCAATATAACAATCAATAGGCCCGCACCATATGGCACGAAAACAACTGATAAGCTGTTGCAGACCCCGAACTTGCTTTGGCAGCCCGCAGCTAAGACTGTCAATGGGGCTTGGCCAGCCCGAGCTCGGCTCATTCGGCCCGACAGAAAGGTCGATGAGCCCGATCATTTAGTGAGCTGGTCTGACCTTGAACCTAAAAATTAGGCCCGAATTAAATGTGAGCTGAGCTTGGGGCTTATTAGGCTCAAACCCGATATAGGCTTGGCTCTTTAATTACTTATATATATAATATTTATATTTTGATATTATGTATAATTATATATCCAAATATATTTTTACTAAATACTAAATATATAAATAAATTACAAAACACAAAAATACATCTAAAGACTCTTTCATGAGCTTTCTTGAGAGCCAATATTAGTAATGCATAACTAAATCTCTAATTTTTCTTATTGGTTGAGTAAATTTTTGTATTAGCATATTATTGGTTGATTTTTTTTTGGTCTACAAACACAAAAATCATCAAGCATATTTGGATTTAAATCACAAGATTATAAAAAAAAGTTTCAACTTTTAAAGATGTATTGGCTTATGATCGCATGTTTTATTACTATTTTTCATGCATTTTAAATGGATTAAATATAAATATTGCTGAAAAAAATTTTGGTTTATATACTTTTTAAGAACTATTATTTATTCATGTTTAGTTTTAATATTATAGTCTTGTAAATGTTAAATTAGTTTTACAACTTAATAGTTATAGTAATTATATTAAGAAAATTAAGGAGTAATAAGTGAGTTTGGGCTAAGCCCGATTAAGGCTCACAACCCGAATATTATGTGAGCTGAGTATGAGTTTCACATTTACGAACTCGAAACTCATAGCCCGAAACCCGAAAATGTTTCAAATCAAATGAGTTGAGTTTGAACTCATCAAAGCCCGACTCATTAGGCCCGATTGACAGGCCTACCGCAGCCAAGTTAACGATGAGAAATAAAATTGAAGACGGCTTACACATGACAGAACTAGTTCCAGATTTAGTGACTCTGCCCATTTTGTAGTTGGGCACAATCAAAACACAAATTAATGAAAATTTTGCAGTTGGGAACAACTTAGAAAGAAAGTACATTTCAAGCTTTTTTTTCCTGTAATTCTTTCTTTCTTATTTGGGTCAAGCGAAACATGCTTCAGATATGGTTCATCTGTTGTTGAGTACCAAGTCGTACCCAATGTTTTGAAAACCGGACCGGACCGGCCGGTTGAACCGCGAACCGGCCATGGCACCGGTCCGGTTCAATGACATTGTTGACTTTGCTAGAAACCCGGTCAAAGACCGGTTGAACCGTGAAAACCGCCGAACCGGATTGAACCGGCGGTTTTCCGGTTTTCAGCTTTCCTTTTTTTTTTTTTTTTTTTAAGTTTTGCAAAATGCAACAATCAAGATTCGAACCAAGACCTTTGTAATAAAAGACTAATGTATTAACCGTTGCACCATCACATCTTATTAGTTTTTTTTGATAACTTATTTATATAAAGCAAATACTCATATTTCTTTTTTCCATTTTTCTTACAAAATCTCATCCCCTCATGGCTCTTTCTTTTTAATTTTCAACTCTCTCTCTCTCTCTCTATCATCTTTTCTTTTGTCACTCCCTTTTTAATCAAACCTCTTTATTTTTAATTTATTAATGTTTTCTTCCATCTTTTAATTTTGTTTTTATCCATTAAATTGAAAAAAGTTAAAAAAGAATTTTTTTATCTCAAATTATTTAATGCCACAACCACTCACTTTTATCTTATTTTTTGTTTCTTATCAAGTTTACATTTCTATTTTCGATTTTCTTGATTTCCTTCGAATTCCAAATTTTCTTTTTTAAATTGCAATATCTAAATCTCAAAACGTAAATTAAAATTTAAATTCATAATATCTAAATTCTCAGATACATGAATTTTGTATAATTTCAAAATATTGTGATATTTTGGGGTTGGATTTAGATATAATTGAAATTGAGATGAAATTTATTTGTTTTAACTTATAATTTAAAAAATTTATTTTTAAAAATCCAAGTTATTAAAAAATAGTAAACTTTTCATCATATAAAATATTAAATTAGTCCATTACATGTCTTATTTTGTACATATATATATTTATATAAATTATTTTTAAAAAAATTCATTGAACCGAGGTTGAACCGGTCCGACCGGTTGAACCTCGACCCTTTCACTTCACCGGTTCAATTAACGGTCCGATTTTTAAAACATTGCTTCATCCCTGTCCTCTTGTTTCTCCTTCCCTCTAGACCTTTTCTTGGCTGGACGAGCTTGTTCCTCATCAAGCTCTTGTTTCTCCTTCCTTTTCATCTCTTTTTTGTTAGGGTCAGTTTGATAATATAAAAAAGTGCTGAAATTGAATCTTTTCAAACATTCGGATGTTTTTAGTGTTTGATAAATGAAAATTCATCTGCTAAACTTGTTAAGCAGTGTTAAACCTGTATGTATTTTTTTCAGCACAAGAATCTTAACTGAATGTTTAATTCTGATAAGAATCAATAGAATTACTTCAACTACCTTATCTTATCTACCAAATCTACTCTTGTTTGTTAATTATATTCAAAATTCTTATTTAATTAAACAATCTAATATTCTCTATCTAATGGTTTTCTATTTCTCTTTTCTCTCTTTTTAAAGACTTTTACATATTTTTCATACTTCTCATATAATATATTTCATCTTTTATATTAATATGAATTAAAAATAAATATTATCATTTTCATACTCAACAATTTTAAACTAATTAAATCATAGGTTCTACTTCTTTTTTGAATAAAAACATATAAGGGCAAAATTATCAAATTAAATTTATTAAGCATTCAGTTATAAATATTTATCAAACAGTAGAAATAAGTTTAGTATTAAAATTCAGACATTTATATATTTCTTTTCAGTGGTTAAAATTCAGTAAATTAATTGTTTCAGTATTCAGATTTCAAAATTCAGAGTTCAGAATTCAGATTCAATTTTATCAAATGGAACTTTAGCCTCTTTCTTCTTTTTCTTGGTTGGACTACCATCCGAAAGGTCATACCTCTTATGCACCTCATCAATGAACTCTTGTTTTGACAAAGAGACGCCCCCCCCCCCCAAAAAAAATAACATGCAGAGCTGATGCTGTATCGGTTGTTATTTTATTTGGTGGAAGTAATTATTATTGATATACACAATGGAATTGGTGCATTTTTACAATTATTAGTCTGTTACCAAATTTCAAAATTACAACAGTTATCCAGATGGAAATTAAAAGCAGCAATCTTGCGATCAAACCTACTTAACTGGTGAAAAAAACATCAATCTTGTAAGTAAAACCAAAGGGATTGATGTCAGGATCATCCATGGCCGGCCATTCTTTCAACTTTCAAGCTTTGATTCTAGTCTTAAGAGGAGCTGAAGGAAATGAAAACAACTTTGACGAGAAAGCAGCAGAAATTGCAAAACTGACTGACGTGCAGTGCATTGCTAGAGGAAAGACTTTGGCTGCCGCCAATTTTTGTGATAATTTCCTTTTGTCTTAGACTTTGGTAATTCATCAATGACAGCCTTGTACGGGTAGACACTTTCCTCGTACAACCCATGTTCTTCCATCATTAAAAATGCATTTTCCAGATTGGATGATATGTGTCTCCTTTTTTCCTTCCCTTCATCCCCATCCTCTTGTTTCTCCTTCCCTCTAGACTTTTTCTTGGCTGGACGAGCTTGTTCCTCCTCAAGCTTTTGTTTCTCCTTCCCTTTCATCTTTTTGTTGTTAGCCTCTTTCTTCTTGTTCTTGGGTGGACTACCATCCGAATGGTCATACCTCTTATGCACCTCATTAATGAACTCTTGTTTTGACAAAGAGACGGGTTCCCCCCCCCCCCCCAAAATAACATGTAGAGCTGATGCTTGTATTTGGTGGAAGTAATTATTATTAATATAAATGAGGGAATTAGTGCATTTTTACAATTATTACTCTGTTACCAAATTCCAAAATTATAACAGTTATTCGGATGGAAATTAAAAGCAGCAATCTTGCGATCAAACCTACTTAATTGTGAAAAAAGCATCAATCTTGTAAGTAAAACCAAAGGGATTCATGTCAGAATCATCCATGGCCAGTCATTCTTTCAACTTTCAAGCTTTGATTCTAGTCTTAAGAGGCGCTGAAGGAAATGAAAACAACCTTGAGAGGGAAGTAGGAGAAATTGCAAAACTGACTGACATGCAGTGCATTGCTAGAGGAAAGACTTTGGCTGCCGCCAATTTTTGTGGTAATTTCCTTTTGTCTTAGATCTTATAAATTTGCAAAATCTGAAAGAGGGAATTATGTGATCCTAGTTACCAATCGTAACTAAACAATTTATCTATTCCATGATCTTTAAGAACAACCATAGGATTGGTGTAAATATTATAGACTTCAATCTCATTGAAGCAATTTGCTAGAAACTGGATGCTCATCTCATGAGCGGCGATGCAAAAAAATTAAAAAAACTTTGCCGCTTATCAAACGAGCGGCGATGGTTTGAAGGAATTAAAAAAAAAGGAAACTGAAGTAACCCAAAATAAATGAAAATGAAAATTATTTTTACTTAAAGCCTCACATCGGAGTTGCGGCGACCTCTAATCAAGATCCCTCCATCAAACATCACCAATTTTGTGACGATTTTCAATTTTAGCAATATTCTGAGAAATTCGCCATTTATGCCCTTATGATATTTATAAGACCCTGATAGGTAGAAAATACATATTAGATGAGCAAGTCGTCTCCCACTTTCTTTGGGATCTTAATTGATTTTTTCTTTTCTTCTTTTTTTTTAAAGGGTGATAGTAAGGGAACATTGATAACCAGATACCATCACCATTAATTAACAGATTTATTTTTGTTTTATTGATTTTTTATACTGCGAAAGAAACTCGTCGACAACTTCGCAGTAGATGCTTTTCTTCATAAAATTTCTCCCCTGTATAGGGATGGCAAGTTGGCAACGGGTGCGGGGGCGGGTGCCCGCGAGAGTAAAAATGGGGCGGGGGCAAAATATATCCCCCTGTCTTAAAACGGGACGGGGACAGGGCAACATACATCCGTCCCCCGCGTATATTAAAATATATATATATATATACACAACAATCCTAAATTTTTCTTTGAGGTGCAGGTTAGGCCATCCACCGTCGGCTCCTTTTCCTTCCTTTCTTCTTTGTGTGGGACTTGCGTCTATCTTCTTCTATTGGTTTAAAAATATACCTGCAAACCAGTCTGGGTAGTAGATCACGGTTTCTTCCGAATCTGAGTTCAACCCGTCGCCATCATCTCCTCCTACCTTAGTTGCACGGCTGCTGTCCGCACTGCCTGGCAGCACATCGGCACATTGTTTCCACCACCAACGCAAACCGCCGCTCTCGCAACATATTGAGATCGTTGGTGTCTAGCCGCTCCAAGGCAGCGATCTCGCCGGCAAGCTGGTCCTCAGCAATTGGATCAAAAGCAACAGACTTTGAGACACATAAATAGAGGTCACCATTTTTCTTGACGGACTATATCTCACCTCTAGAGTCCAGATCGACCGCAACTGCACGCTTCTGCTCCCAGCCTGGGCACTACCGTCTCTGCTCCAGTAGCCACTGATCTGGCAAGAGAGCCTCCGGCAAGTAAAGGAAGCGTCGCAGACAAGCCTTCCTTTAACTACAAAGTGTCTGAAGGCACTTTGATAGACGAAGTCTTCCACTTCGATTTCTTTCCCCGCGGGGGACACGGGACCGGGAGTGGGGGGCAAGGGGCGGGGAACGGGGGAAGTTATTTGACAACGGGGCGAGGGACCCCATCCCCGCCCCATTGCCATCCCTACCCCTGTAGCTCTGACTTGATACTCACATTAAAACCCATAGCTAGCTAGACAAACACCTGCAAATCGCAACAACTCATCAGTTGCCGACTTTCATAAAACCCCTCAAGGGAAGTTGCCAGAGCCCCCCGGTTTGGGGGGGGGGGGGTTGTGGAGACCGATCGAGCTTATCAATTATTTCAGAAGCTGGATTCATTGCATTAGGATTCATTGCTACCTTTTTTTCCCCCTCTTTTGCTCCAATGCCATATTGTAAACGTGTCGGAAGAAAATTGACGGAATTTAAGAAGCGGAGAGGGGATGGGAGGATTGAAACCCAAGACCTATGATTACCGAGCCCTCGACAATCTGAAATTCCGTAGACAAATTAAATGACTTCAGCTTTGTCAACGTCTGGTTTTAGTGAGGATAACAATCTTACAAGTTCAAAACACCTTTGCATATTCAGAAATCGTTTGGTAGGCGTGATTAATTGGTCATCGCTAGCTGATGCGCCATCAGCAAGTTAGGCAAAAATCAGTGGTTAATGCTATTGTAAGAATCACGCCTTTGCTCTACCTTTTCTGCAGGAGCCCGTGGTTTCTTAGAACTAATAAAAATTACAGAATTAGAAACAATAAAGGATTAATAGTAGAAATGCAGATCAAAGAGTGTAGTTCTGGTTAATGGCATCAATTTCTATTCCCTTCAGCTTGACAAAAGACTCCACCTTGCCCTTAAGGGTGTGAAGCTCTCTCAACCTTCAAATTCAAGAAAGATGCTACATCAGACAAAGCACAGAAATTTTGCTTCTCATTGTGGAGGGAGGAGAAACAGAAGTCAGTAAAAATGCTACACACGGGACATATTTGGGCAAGCTCTGAGCAAATCAGAGAGACTGAAAAGGCTACAACTTAAATTTGCATAAATATGTTTTGGTAACATGGCTTACCTTGCAATCTCTGCACGCCTTCTGGCTTCTTCAGCCACGTTATTCATCTCCTGGAATGTGCTATTGCGATCTATTAGCTTCACTGGCTCAGGAGCATGGAGGCCATGCAGTGTCCGTTGCTCCGTGGCCCAAGCAGCCTCACGGGCTTCCTTTCCAAAGTTCTTTTGGGTGGAGAATGCAGTCTGGCCACAAGAAACATAATTGGGCAAACATAAATGTTGATTTATGGAGAAAATAATGAAAATTGAACCTGCAAACTGTTAATAGTATACTCTAGGACTTTTTGCAGAATGCTGTAGGATTTAGCTATACTTACCCTTTTTTCCACCACCAGACCCCAGGCTTTTCCACTGAGTGAATATCTAACCAAGAACTTAAGGGGATCAAGAAGCATGTAGGTGATGATATTGTATAACCAGATGACACCGGTCCAACCCCAGCCAATGCTTCTGATTCCAGCAAAACCCCAGGTTGCAGTGGCAGATATTACAGTTGCAATCTGCAATGCGGACCGCCATTAACTCTATACTAAGAAAGGTACGAAATTTGATCCAACAAATATTTGGTAATCTTAAATATGGGTCACAAATTGATTGTTTCACTTTACTATTTAGAACTCTATTTGTCTCAGAACTCGGTGCGAAGTAGATGTAATGAGGTGACGGTTGTGCTTTAAGTAGAAAAGTTAGAAAAGTATCCTGCATCCATGGTCTTGCGTGAAGAAAACTGGACTATGGAGTTCACTCGCGTAGACTAAAGGAACCAGTTTTTATCTTTTCGTCCATATGCAAATATGCGTTATTCATCTAGAGGATGAATCACTAAAATGCTGCACCTGGAGAGTGCAAGACAAAATGCAGACTGCTTCAATTGCATATGGGAAAGACAAAGGAGGATAAAAGAGGAAAAGAGAATAAAAATTGAACTTGAGCTTGAACTGTATGGGGAAACAGTTAAACCAAGATGGAAGTATCCAGAGTGTAAGTCATACACAATATAGAGAATGTATATTTAGAAGGTAAATTATTGGATGCACCATTTTCATGCTTAGAACAGCTTCATGAATCTCATAGTTTTCTGAACTCAAAAACTAGTATTATGACTGGTTAGTGAACAATGACTTGGTTTTATGTGAATTATTCTATAAGTTTTGAAATAACATTGAGAAAATTGAAGATATAGTGACTAGTGAGTTAGGACTTTTGGACCAAATGACATTCATGACAGAAATGTTTATCTTCATCGCATAAGTACAGAAGACAGGATAATCAAGAATCTTAATCATTCTGCTCGATTATTCTTCTTCACCATTTGGACTGAAAGCAATCTACAGCTTCTTTTGTAAGTCAATAGTTTTCGGTCTGAGTTGCTATTGACATTTTATCTTACGCAAAATAACATGCAAAGAGGTAGAAGAACATGTTACCAGCTGTGCAATAACAAAGGCTGTCACTAGGAGGAAACCAGGTCTCTCTTTGAATGACCAACTCGTCGAGCGAGTCACAAAAATTAGGGCCTGGCTGATGGTGCTAACTTGGAGATAAACTGCTGATGCCACCATTTGATTGAGGCGCTTAGCTACCTCATCGTTTGACATATCGAATTCGTGCTTGTTGAAATTCCTTACGTTAAAAACATTCTGATAAAAAGAAAACCAAGGACAATCAACAAAAAATGGATGAATAGTAAAATGATATAACGGAATAAGCTTACATTAGATAAATGCCAAGTAATCTGAGTTATTAAGTTTCAGAAACATGGATAACATCTAGGGCTCTTAAGCCAGTATGCATAGTCTCTGAAAATTTTATGCAGCCTCCTTAAGTATTATTCAACTGATGTCGAAACATCTTTCAAAATGCAAAGTATTAGCAAATAAGCATTTCTTGTCCCTAATTACCGTGAAAGCAAGAAGGAAACACATACAAGGATGCATTGACACATTATTCTTCTTTTACGTGCAATCTGTAAGCTGCACTAGTAACCCAACAATGACTTTCCAGTTACCTTAAAGAAGCTAGTTTCATATGCCACATAAAAGAATATAACAGTAGTCACGGCCATGTAAGCACCAAGAGCAACCCCTGTGGCAAAAATTTCACTAAGCTTCCAACTGTCTGGAACTGGGGAAGGTTTAACCCTGTCTTTGGAAATTGTCATGATTGTACCTAGACAAATAAATTCCTATGTCAGATAGAAAGAACCTGCAACAAGAAGACTTATGAGATGTTGTCAAATCTTAAACCAAGTACTGATGTATGCTAACCGTCATTCAGGATGGCAATGACAAGAACCATGAAAGGAGGGAAATCAAATTTCCAAATACATGTCAGCAACATGAATCCTAACTGCACAAGCAACCAGGTGCAGTATGAAAAGAAGAAAAGAATGCTTCTATATCTGGAGCATCAAGAATATATTGTTCATAGAAAACTTACCACAATACGAATAGTGATAGACACAGCATATATCTGGAGAAAACAAAGACTATTTTCAGCCAGTTACTTGCACAAAATCTCTGTCTCTACTAAACAATGTGATGTCACTATTACCGTATAGTTTTTCATTCTTTGGAAAATTGCACGGCTTGTTAGGACAGCACTGATGATCACACTTAAGCCAGGTTCTGTCAGAACAATGTCAGAGGCACTTCGAGCAGCATCAGTTGAATCTGCTACTGCAATACCTATGTCAGCTATCTTTAGTGCAGGTGCATCATTTACTCCATCTCCAGTCATTCCACAAATGTGCTTTCGTGCTTGTAGTCTTTTTACAATCTCATATTTATGTTCTACAAAAGGACGCATAAAGCCACAATTGTGATCAAGGCTTTTATGGTAACACATCATATATGGACTTTGAAGGAATTTGAGTTTTAGACTGCAAGATTTACCAGGAAAGACTCCAGCAAAACCATCAGCTTTCTCAATAAGTTCATCTATTGGTAGTGCTGCAACTGCTTCATCTTTGCTGCCTCCAAGCAAAGATGAAGAAGGATACATATTTGTGCCCATTCCAAGTCGTCTTCCTGTTTCCTTAGCTATTGCCAACTGGTCACCAGTTATCATTTTCACACTGACTCCCAGGTCAAGCGCTCTTCTAATTGTTTCTGCACTATCATGTCGGGGTGGATCAAAAAGCGGGAGAAGGCCAATGAATTCCCAGGGGCCACCAGGACCATCTTTGTTGCCTGAAGGCACTTCCTACATGGGAAAGAATTGCATAATTCTGTCAACAAGCAAATAGCAGATGCAAGGAACAATATACAGTTCAAAGAACCTCAAGTACCTGATAAGCAACTCCAAGAGAACGAAGACCACGATCTGCAAATTTGTCAATGATGGAATGTACCTTTTTCTCAATCACTGACTTGTTATATGCTAGATTGAGAATCTATGGAACACAATTTGTAGAATTTCAGATGTTCCACATTTTACATGGTTTAACCTGTACTCTTGTTAAAATATCTGGATAGGTTACCTGCTCTGGTGCACCTTTGCTTACTCTATGCATTTTCCCAGCTTTATCTACGTATGTCAGAGCTGTTCTTTTGTCAGTTGGATTAAACGGGAGAAAGTGAACTTCTTTGATTCCAGCTCGTGCCTTACAAGAATGAAAAATGGAAATATTAGAAGTGAAATATAGGAAAGACTATCAGAAAATCATGATGACTCCAATTTTCCAATTTTTTATTTAAGCAGACAAACTAGTGATGCTCTTGATATAGCTTTAAGTGGAATTAAGGTAGTTTTCCCTCAGCAACATTTCAAAAAAATCCTTATCTGCAGAGTACAGTTCATCTCCTCTTTTTTCAATTATTTTTTGCAGTGACACCTATTTTACACAAATAATGGGAAAGCTTTCTATCAGCTGTTTAAATCTTGAACACACACAAAGCAGTCTTTACAAAGAAAGTGCAGCATTGACATACCTCCTTAGGATCCGATAGCATCGAAACAATTGCTGTATCAATAGCATCTTGATTCTCTATCCTTGATGCTCTTGCAGCCATTAGTACAACTGCATCCTTGTCAACACCTTTAGCGAAAACCTGCATTTGAAAATGGTCCCTTCAAAATGACTAGATGTTGCATGTGTGGTCAATTCAACTTCAAATTTAATCAGTTTTCCCTATCAAGATGACATTGAAATCTGATGCACAGACTTATATTATGAAAGAACGTAAGTTGTTTAATCTTGTGTACACCTTATTCTCCACATGCTGAGACTTTACCAAACTGATGAGATTTGACGTTGAAAGTGTTCTCTACTATGAGAAACGTATGCGAGAGATTAATATGAAGGAACAAAGCATAATGTTGGATTCTTTCCTAATGCAGAGAGAGAGAGAGAAAGCCGAAGCATAACCTCAATCATATTTTTGTCCACTGTCAACTTGTTAAGTGTAAGTGTGCCTGTCTTATCACTGCATAAGACATCCATCCCAGCCATTTCCTCAATTGCCGTCATCCTTTTTGTTATTGCACCCTGCATAAAAAATGTTTACCGGGATAACTTGACTGGTATTCAACTTAGCAAAAGTATATTGGATAAGTATATCTATATCATAATTATATCTTGATCATGATTTCACAACGAAAAAGGAGGCACTGTTTTGCTTGCAAGTTGCAACGAACCTGTTGAGACAATCGATGTGATCCTATTGCCATGGTAACAGAAAGTACAGTGGGCATTGCAATTGGAATACCACCAATGAGAAGTACAAGAAGGTTATCAATACCAGTTCGGTATGATCTCTCTTGAATTGCATATATGACAATGATTTCAATAAGCATTCCAACAGCAATGGAGCAAATGCAGAAGTTTCCAATTGCTGTTAAAACCTGCCAAAAGATTATTTACTATGGCTTTCTCATCGTAAGAAATGGAAACAAGAAATCATATATTCATTCAAATTTCCAACAAATTTTAGGGAATGCAAATGGGGAAGCGTTGTATTCAGAAACATACCTTCTGGAAATGCCCAACATGTGTGGTATTTTCCACAAGATGAGCTGCTTTGCCAAAGAAAGTATGAACTCCAGTAGCTATTACGACTGCGTCAATCTCACCTTGCTTACATGTTGAGCCTGAATAAACCCCATCACCAGGATTCTTGGTTACTGGAAGGGATTCTCCAGTAAGTGCAGACTGTTACAGTGAAAATGTTTAGCAAAGGAGAGGAAACCATTCAGGATAAATGGTCATTCTTCAACATGTTGATGTGAAAAGAAGAAGAAAATTATGATCCAGAAACTTTGATGTAGTATCAGCTATCCAACTCAATTTTCTGGCAACTCATATTACATCCAAACAATCACTATCTGACACCAACTACTTTTGCCCTTTAATGTGAGTAAAGCCCGCACCAGTGAGTTTTTAACTACATTTGTTTAATGTAAGGCATTCCTGTTTATAGTAATAAACTCACAATGTAGTATCATTACTTGGTTGCTTCAAAAGAGGAGTCCATTGAATTGTAATCAATGTTTAGCACACACCTACTGTTAAGTTAACATATCAAGAAATGGTTTAACTGCTAAAGAGGAAGACACTATCAAGCTATATTAACAGACTCTTGTTTCCCACTCACATGGACCAATCCCATGATTTTTTTTGGTTAAATTTAAAAAGGACAAAGATTGATGGAAGGGTTATTTAGAGTATTCTTGTTATATTTCAAATTATTACTATCATTATTATTAGTACTCTTTTTTTTTTTTTTTGTGTAAATCAGTTGGAAACTGAAGATCATTAATCTGATAGTAGTTAGCTTTATCATATAAGAACTCTGGCTGATTCAGGAGAAATACTTTGGGGAATAGAACATGTAAGTGAACTACGTACAGAGCCTGAGGCAAAACACTGAAAAGATCCACAAAACTGTTTTTGTTTTTTTGGAGTCTCTATATGCTTTTGGAAGATGATCTCATTTTTCCCATTTCTTTGCAGCATCTGAGTACCTGATCTATTTTTAGTGGATCCCCTTCTAGAAGACGTGCATCAGCTGGGACAATGTCACCAAGTTTGATACTAATGATATCACCTGGAACCAGCACTGAAGCATCTTCTTCACTCCATTTACCATCACGCAAGACCTGGAAAGTTTTTGAGAAAATTAGAACTAAAGATTTAATGACAGATTACATTTGACAAACAGTTTATGAAGTTCGATACCTTTGCTTTTGGAGCCAACCGCGCCATGAGAGCGGCAGCAGCATTTCCAGCATTATTTTCCTCAATAAAACTGATGGTTGAGTTGATAATGAGCAAAAGCAAGATACCAACAAAGTCTTGAATATCTGGACCCTTGCCCTGTAGAATTTAGTCTTTATTAAACGTCAAGGAGGATAAAGTTCAAAACTTGTCATACACTGTAGTAACTGATCCGGAAAAAGATTTCAACAGGCAGCTAGTGCCCAATAAATCGAAGATTTTCTGGCAGAAATTTCCAAGGCTATAATTTATCCACAATTAATCAAATGCTTGAAGTATCAATTACATTCAATTTAAGGTCTTAATTATCGAAGTAATTAATTGTTTGGGTACGCAGAAGATAGAGCTACAAAAAGATCCTTACCCCTCCATTTGCAAGAGCAATGGACATGATAGCAGCGGCCTCCATGACCCAAGACAGAGGATTCCACATAAAGCCCAAGAATTTCAATGCTTTACTTTCCTGAGTAAGCAAGAGCAGTGGATGTCGAATTCAGGGAACAAAGAAGAAAAAGAATACGAAATAGTAAGTGGAGGAAGGAAGATTTCAACCTTCTTCTCCTCAAGTTTATTGAAACCAAACAAATCCAATCGTTCTTTAACTGCATCTGAGCTCAAACCTTTCCTAGTACACTTCAGATTATCAAATACCTCTTCAAGGGGAATGTTTTCCTGCACATTGAGGCTCCAAAACTCAATATTCTGATGGTAATTTTGTCCATGACAGTCTTTATCATGGATCCGCAATCTCTCTTGTAAAGTGTATATAACATCAGAAGATCTGTTAAGGGCACATTTTTATTCATTACTTCAATCATGGTCATTGTATTTGTGAGGAGCAACTTATTTGGGGATCACATGGAAGACTCCCCACTGTTTATCTCTTGCACTTATCCAAGCACTAATTTCTTTTCTTATTGGGATTAAGTTCATGAGTTGAAATTATTTCACTTTAAATGTGCCTTTCGTTTCTTGATTTATGTATCATTATCGCTTCAGAAATTCAGAATGAATCCAGCAGGATTTTAACATGCAAAAAAATAAAAATAAAAAATAAAATCTTTAACTGACTGATACGCTAACTTAATAAGTAAACACTTTCTGAAATTGTACTGTACACGTACAAGATCAACAGCTTCCTTGATGACTGCATCAAGGGCAACTGACTTCTCATACATCATCTATTTCCTTCTTTCAAATCCCAATCACCAGCTTCTTGTAAAGATTCTGCATTTCCACAAAACACATGTTGAACATACAAACACCTTCCACAGGTAGGAAAAATTCCTAGAACTAACATAAGCCTGAGAATTTGCAATATTTCTCTTCTGTTTCAAAATTTTAAATGGAAATCAAGAAGGATAATAACTACTGCCATTTTCATCCATATGCATTAAAAAAAGGAAATATATCATGTAAATTAAGTGTATATGTGTGGTTCTGGAATGAATGTTAAATATAACTCATCCTCGCCAACCATGGTTCTGTCAAGAGGTAAGGGACTCTCAGCAATTCCGAGAGATTAAAAGTTTGATTCTTCTCACCAGAAACTAATATTCTTGATATATCTAATTCATGTGGATAGTCATAGCCACTGTCTCAAGAAAGGTAAGGTTCAACACGACATAGATGAAATCAGAGTTTCTCCACACACGGGGTGATTGGACAAGAATGCAATGTTGCCACAGAAAATTCTGTGTAATCTAACCTACTTTACCCATTATCAGTAAAATCAGTAAGAGATGAAGAACGATACACATTTTTATACCTGTAAATTGAAGAGTGCTTTCAATTTCACATTCAGCTAGATTGCTGCTATAATATTGCTGGAGCAATTAGCACCTAGCAGCTTTGCCTCAACCTTTAGTTGTGGCAATAGTCTAAGGGCCTGGTGTAAGTTTCAAGGATGTACCAAATTCATCAAAATATATACTCAACATGCAAACAAAATTATGAGAAGTTCCAGCGTTACTTGAATTTGAATATCCTTAAAAGGGAAAAAAAAAGTGCAAGAATCAGGAACCGGGCACGCACTAGCCTTAAACCAAGAAAAAGACAGCAAGGCGGATACAGAAAATGTACGTTGCGGTGCATGGGGTGGGAACTATGTAGGAAATGTGAAAGCTCCACATGGAAAGAGGTGGAAGTTCGAATTTTAGCCGGCAGGAGACACTTCGGCAAACTCACCAATCTGCTGGCGAGATGAGTAAAAGTCTGGGAGATTTTATTTAACGTATGATTGTTTTGCCGCTTTGACGGCATTTCTTGGGAAATCTCGCAAGTACAAGTGCAACATTCTTGTACTTGACCAAAATTTTGCAAATTTGGTGATTTTGTCAATATCCTAAAGTCACTTTTGTGGTGACGTGAGGTTTGACACTGGGCAAGCCAGGTCTCTTGCAGGTTAAGATTCAAAGCTTATTTGATAAACTTGTAATTGGAACTCTCGAATTCCATCCTTTGCATTCTTGCAAATTAAATTTATATTTGCCAGATGCAACAAAGAGTTTTATACTTTGCATAAGAACTCAATCCCAACCATTTCAGTAGATATCTTACAACTAAAAACCTTTTTTTTTTTTTTTTGTTCGATCCATTTTCTTCACCGTCGCGAACCCCAATTAAATTTAATAAGAAATTTTGGTGTGGTAGCTAAAGTTAAAAGTTCAAGAACTAGATGTTTTGAGTTCAAATGCTCTATCCCTTATTTCACTTCTTAAAATTCCATCCCTTCCTTACTTTAAAAAAAAAGAAATCCAAACTGCATCAAATGCTATTTGTATCCTAGTAGGTATGAAATGATCAAGGCGTGATAAAAGATTCGTAAACTAGTAGATATGTAGTGATTAGGTAGCATGATAAAAGATCTTGCAGTTTTGAAGAACAAGGAACTAAATAGCTAATCATTAGATCGAATCAGCAGCTAGCTAGAAGAGAGTTTTTAGAATCTTTTTCAATAATCAGGTTCAGGATTAGAATTAAAATTGAATACCAAAGAAAAATTTTGAGCATTTTATAAACTTACACCACAGCTGCTTTCGAGTTTTTGTGATAATATATACTACATTTTACACATAATCACGTACTGAATATTTGTTGTGTTACATTACATAAGGATACCTTACGTACGTAAACTTTATTCAGTTTCTTAGTCGAGTGAAGCTGCCTGCCTACACATTAACCTCTATACTTTATGGTATACGTTTCTCTCTTTATTAGCTACGTAGAATAGAAAATAATTTGCAATATTTTTTTTTGTAATAACAAGTTCGTCCAAATGATTAAAATTTAGACTCGGTCCACTTAAAGTCTTTATTCTTGTCTCGTACTATGGTGGGATTTTGTCATTGATGCTTTCGCACTCGATCGTTCTTTTTTCTTTAGAATGGTAGTGTGACAAGACAAAGATCTCACAAAAGAATGCACAAAATTGACTTGTATAATTCCAACAAACAAAGAGATAAGGTGAACCAGCACAAGACACAGACAACTCAAGATAGTGCTACTACCGTATGCTCAGACCAATTAAAAGGCCGAAATTGAGAGATAACCAAATGCATATCACTAATTAAAAATGCTTCTCTTTCACCAACCAACTAGTTTCTGTCTAATTTTTTTTTTTTTTTTTTATATATAAATGATTGTGAAACTCTGCAAGAACTTCTGGGCATTTGTTTCACTTTGACAAATGGCCCTAATCTATCAGAGTCCATATACTCAATAGTCAATCTCTAATCTTCGAATGGCGGTTTCAGGAGACTTGTTCAATTGGTGGTCAAGAGTAAACACTACACATTCAACTGAAAATCACCAAATTCATCCGACCAAAGTTCAACTTCTGTTGTGCTGTCGGATTAACGTTTTAGATGTTTCTAATTTGTATTATAGTACTATCGTCACAAGTTTGACTACGTACGCCTGCCTTCGAGGAAGAAAAATCATGAGTTCTTCCTGAATTGTTTCCGGACAGAAGATCAATCATAGGATTTAGATGGTGGTACATTGAAGGGACGAAAAAAAGGAGACGCATATCATCCAATCTGGAAAATGCATTTTTAATGATGGAAGAATATGGGTTGTACGAGGAAAGTGTCTACCCGTACAATGCTGTCATGGATGAATCATTTGTTACACCTGCAGCTGCCATGACTTGTGTGAGTTACTTGATCTAGTGTTTTTATTATTCTACAATTTTTTTGTTAGATTAGAGAATAGACTTCTCATTACACAATGCCATTATGACAGGTGGAAACATCATGAGTCTAGCAACTGGACCTTGCCAAACTCATGGCACAGCTCAGCTGCGAAGCTAGAAAAAATTTTCAGTAGGGGCAAAAATAATTCTAAAATTTTTTACATACTCTTTTTCTAGTTTTTTAAGGAAAAAAATATTCACCAACAAGTACAAATGATACATATATTTCATGAAAAATATAAAAAGACAAACTCAAAATTATTAATGTAATAATAATTTTATTTTAAAAAGCAAACTAAACTATTTACAATTGCTCATGACGAGTTTTCGTATTTTGATAACAGTTTATAACCTTTTCATTTTGAATCTCACGAAGTATATTTTTCTCAATATAAGTAACTAAACAATCATTCATTCAAGTGTCTTCCATTCTATTTCGTAACCGATTCTTCACTATATTTATAATTGAAAAAACCCTTTCTACGGTAGCTGTAACAAATAACAAGAAGTAAAATCAAAAGCAATTTTGAGAGCAAATAAACTAGTAAATACACAAAACTCCGGGGGCCACACTTGAAATTATATCAAATTTTTATAAGTATTATAGAAATTGCCCAGTGTAAATACGCCGCTAGCGCAGCCGATCCAACACTAGCCAAACTCCTTAGCACTTTGGCACTTCAGTCCACCATCAAGTAGAGAATTTTCACCAGTCCAACTCTTAGAAAAATTCACTTACCTATGAGTAACCCAATCTCGCAACCTGAAACTCCGATACCAATTTGATAGGGGGAAACATCTCGTGAGAACCCACCAAAGAGCCAAATATGTAAGTAAGGAATCCAACTCTGATCCAAAAACTTAAACTATTACGTTTCAGGTCTTTCTCCATCTCTTGAACTAATGTGGGACATAATCTTTTACTCACAAGCCTAACATATTAGTTGTTGCTAAAAATGTATGTATTTCACCGGGCGCAGAAGTTTTTTACTTTGGACTCTATTATTGGAAAATACAAGAATCTTGCCAAGGTTGAGGCTGAGGTTCTTGAAGCTCTTGAGCACCAGCCGGTCGCTGGTGTCATGGAATCATACAGAAGTCTGAGAAAGTTCGAAGGCAAAGTTTGTGAAAATTTTGTAAATATCTACCGTGTGTACATATTATACACTAGATAACCTATCATGGTTTCTGGCTTTACTGCATTCAAAATATTCCCACTCTAAACTTTCTCAAGACATGGAGAAGGGCAAGAGAGGTGACAATGCACAAACTAATGCTTCTCACTGAATTTCTTCGGCAGGCAGTCTTTTTCTCAACAACGAACCTCAGAACTTCCAAAGAACTTGCAGATAACAAGAACCAAAAGCTGCAATTACGTAGTTATCCCTTTTACTGTTAGCTAAGTACTATTTCTGCAAGGAATACAAGATAACCTGCTGTCATGCTTCTCTCTTTTATCTTTATTTGTTTATTTATTTTGGCAGGGGAGAGGGATGGCTCTGGGAGGAGAGTAGCAGGGGAATATCAGAGGAAAGAGGTGCATGGACGATAATCAAACAGAGCCACCAACTATGAATCAAGGGATAAGTTCAATATGCACCTAAGTATCATCTTACCAACTACCTAACAAACACAAGCAAATTGTAATTACCACGAGTAAAGAGAATGCTTTACAGAAGAAAATAATAACTGTAGAGTAATTTTAGGACTTCAAATTGCAGCAAAACTGCAAATTTACCTCAGCATCAGATCGTGCAAATGCTATCAGGGGTGCCACACCACCTTCTCGTCCAATAGCAATGCTGATACACAAGCAACAAATGACACTTCAAATAGGAAGTAGCACAGGAAAAAAAAAAAAAAAGGAGGCATGAAAGCACTACAAATTAGGAGCATTAGATAAAACTCCTCCGTCTTTGCAATATTTCGCGGGACCTGTTTCTTATTATGCCCTACCATAATGACAGGTTGACAGGTTGACAGGTTGTCGAAGCCTGTGCAATAATAAATACCTGCTCAAACTAAAAGTAGTTTCTGTAGATAGTGGTGAGTAGGGTCGAATCCACAGGGACTGGGAGTAATTATTTCTTTTCAAGCTCACAGTGACAAGGGGAGTGTTTTTATGCAGAAGGTGACAATCAAAGAAATTCAACTAAAATAAAAAGCTACTAAAAATTAAATAACAAATTACTAAAATCAAATGAGTGATAATTAAGGATCTAGCCAAGGAATAACTTCAGCAAAGGTGCACCTAATTGATCATCGATAAGCAAAGGCAATTCCAATTATTTACTAATAAATAGGTTATAACTGCCAAACAAGCGATGACAGTCAACCCCTCCTTACTGTGTCGGTGATCAAGGTACGCCCGTTAATCACTGCTCTAATTGAGAAATAATCCTAGGTACGCCCGTAGAATTTAATTCCTCAATTGCCTTACGTATTAGAGGAGCCCTATTCTAACCAAATAACGCACTACCAGGGTTATTTTAGATTAGCCCGCGTATTCCCCTGACACAAACCCAATCATGCCAGTTATCACTATTTTGAGACAATTAAACAATTACGGATTTAACACCTCAATTGACAATAGATTATTAAATTAACTAATTATCCGGATCCAAGACAATCAATTAATTAAACAACCATAAGCACTGCAATCAGGGAATATGCAAATACCAATAAATAAGAGAAAAAGATAAAATTAAATCGATCTCACAAGTTTTAGGCAATCCAAAGCATCCATTATCCCTTGACTAGAGAAAGAAAATTAGTTCATAATTGATGAACTAAATCCGCCAGAAATTGTTGCAAAAGCTGCGGCCATCAATTGGGAAGCTGGGCGAATTCAATTCGTCTATTCAATAAAGAAAGAAAGCTACAAGAGTCCACTGAGTGTGTTCGCTTTTGCCCGACATTCGGAGAAGAGAAATTGAATAGGCAGAATCAAAGACATAAGCTAAGCTCCTCAGCAATCTTCCCTGCGTAAGAAAAAGCTAACTAACAAAGACTAAGAAGAAAAGTCAACAACTGCGGCTAAGCTACAAGACGAAAAGCTCTCCAAAGAGAAATCAAAAGCTAAGCTTCCGTAGTGCTAGTCCTATGCTATTTCTATATTTCCTATCTCCTCTGCGGCGGCTCTCCTTCCGGAGAGGAAGAAGCCGACCCCTCCTTCAGCCCTTCGTTGCTCCTTTTAATGCTTTTGTCTTCGGCAATTACTAAAATGGGCATAAGCTTGCCTTTGCCAACAATGCCCCTGGGGTGAGCTCTGTGCCTTAGACTCCTTTTTTGTCAAATTAGCACTTGTTATCATATTTTCGTTCTACTCCCTGGAATATATGCAAAACACTAAAAATGAGTAGAATCCAGCAATTAATCCACATCGGGTCAGGTAATAGAGAAAATTAATAATAAAATAAATGATAAAATTACACCCTATCAAAGTAGCACAGGGAAAAAAAAAAAAAAAGGAGGCATGAAAGCACTACAAATTAGGAGCATTAGATAAAACTCCTCCGTCTTTGCAATATTTCGCGGGACCTGTTTCTTATTATGCCCTACCATAATGACCATATTCATGCCAAAAGTCCGATATAAACCACGGAAATACTTTTTAAGTCCACTTTTATACAGTCTTGCCCATTGAGCGCATTACAACAAACTTTAAACCCCTTTTTTCCAGCAATATCATGACACCTATTAGTCTAAAACTCAGAAGAACCGCCCAATTTTGTTAAGACCTACATGCCTTTTACAGATAATCACAGTTGTAAATTTGGACACCTTGTTCTTCCCCCCCCCCCCCCCCCCCCCCTTTCAACTTCTTAGATATCTCCGCTATATTGAAGGCTTACCAGTATTATTTTACGCCCAGCAACCTTGTGTTTTATTTTTGAGAAAGAAAAAAAATACTCATCTCTGCCATAAACATCCGCTTGTATTCTGACAAAGTAAAAGAACCCAAGGAAATCCCTCTTGCATAGAACAATGGATCAAGTCAATAATAGCACGTAACAAAATAAAAAATATGGACATTTGGAGCAACAGCGATAACTTATAACCAAATAAAATAGAAAATCTGACAAATATATGCACACACACTATAACATTTTTCATATCCAGCATTAGAGAGCCATTAAATACAGATTAGCAAACCTATAACTAGGGGGAAAAAAAAGAAATTAAAAGGCGCAGTTCCAATGGAATTATCATCCCACGCTTTTTGGAGAGGGCGATGAAAGCTCCAGCTCCATGAACCAAAGGGCATGGGTATGGAGTCCAGCAGAGAAGAAGTGCATCTTTCTCCTCCAGCGAAGGAACACCAAGGCAACACTTCTCCAGGTCCACGCTTTCATGATCCAAAACGCCCTCCAAACCAACGTTAACCTCCTCACTAAACTTATAACCACCTTTGCCACCGTCGTCCCCGCATCTGGTATCCACCATGCCCGCCGTATATTCGACTTCTGCCATCGAAAGAACGACACTTTTCTTTGCAATACAATGATTAAATCCCATTTAGCTGCGCGTCAGTATAGTGAAGCTACACGTCTGTATACATATTTGCTAAAAAATGAAGCGTTTAAGCCAGACAACTACACATTTTCCAGCCTTGCTAAGTGTTGTGGGCTAAATTTGGCGGTCTGGGAAGGCTTGGGGATTCATAATCACGCTATGAAAAGTGGGTTTGTATCTAATTTGTATGTTGGGACTTCATTCGTTGATATGTATGGGAAGTTCGGAGAAATGGGTTTTGCGAGAAAGATGTTCGATGAAATGACTGAGAGAAGTTCCGTTTCTTGGACTGCTCTCATTGATGGGTACGTGAAAAATGGTGATATGGCTGCGGCTTTGGGACTTTTTTATTTTATGCCGGAGAAAGATGTGGCCGCCTATAATGTGATGATTGATGCTTATGTAAAGATGAGGGAGATGGGTTTGGCTAGGAGTTTGTTCGAGACAATGCCGGAGAGGAATGTAGTGTCTTGGACTAGTATGATTGATGGTTACTGTAGTATTGGTGATGTTGATGAAGCTAGGTTGTTTTTTGACGCGATGCCAGAGAGGAATTTGTTTTCTTGGAATGCAATGATTGGGGGATATTGCCAAAATAAGCAACCCCATGAGGCTTTGAGGTTGTTTCATGCGTTGCAACTGGAGAGGATGATTGAACCAGATGATGTTACTCTTGTGAGTATTCTTCCAGCTATTGCTGATCTCGGTGCTCTTGAATTGGGGAGCTGGGTTTACCATTTTGCTAGGAGGAAAAAATTGGATAGATCATCAAATCTTTGCACTGCCTTGGTTGATATGTATGCAAAGTGTGGAGAAATTGAGAAAGCTAGAGGTGTTTTTGATGCCATACAGTTAAAAGAAACATCTATATGGAATGCTTTGATTAATGGGTTGGCAGTGAATGGGCGTGCTGAAGAAGCTCTAGAGGTATTTTTGGAGATGAAGGGTAAAGGGTTCAAGCCAAATGATGTTACCATGCTTGGAGTTTTATCAGCTTGCAACCATGGGGGTTTAGTGAAGGAAGGAAGGAGATGGTTTAAAGCAATGGAAGGATTCGGGCTTACCCCGAGAGTTGAGCATTATGGCTGTCTTGTAGATCTGTTGGGAAGGGCAGGATGTCTGGATGAAGCTGAAAGCTTGATTGACCGCATGCCTTATGAGGCTAATGGAATTATATTAAGTTCTTTTCTATTTGCTTGTTACTATGCTAAAGATATTTCGAGGGCTGAGAGAGTAATAAGAAAGGCAATTGATATGGAACCTTGGAATGATGGGAACTATATTATGCTAAGAAATCTTTATGCCTCTGAGAGAAGATGGAATGATGTAGAGGAGATCAAAGGTTTGATGAGCAAAAAGGGGGCAAAGAAGGAGGTAGGTTGTAGTGTCATCGAGATCAATGGCAAGGTTTGTGAGTTTGTTGCTGGGGATAAACTGCACCCAGAGTCAGCTGTCATACACTTAGCCATGGAGCATTTGCAGTTGCACATGAAGGCAGAGAGTACTTATTGGTTCTGAACAACTTAAACTGACTGAAGCTTGAGCAAAGGACAAGCTTGATGATCGAGTTGCATCTTAATCTGAGAACTCCTTACAGAGGACCTACAATTATTCGTTGAATATCAAAAGAATCATCTACCATTAAATAACCGTAAGAAGCGTGAAGATATACATTGGTCATTGAGCTTTCTTTTGTTTGTTTCTCCTTCAATTAGGGCTCAAAAATTGTTGAATGGTGTGTGGAAGAGGATGGCTTATGCCAATAACTTACTTGACCATCATTGCCAGGTGAAACTATGGAGAATCATAACTGAACCATGTATGGAGAGGATATGTAAAAAGGTTTCCATTTTTCTTTTCCCCAACTGTCCTTAGGTTGTTCAATTGAGGTTCAGGATGCGTGTAATCTGAATGCAAGCCAGCATTTGCAATTCTATGATATGAGATTCCTTAGTCTTAATTTAACGCCATAGCTAGATAGAAGCCAGGAATCATGTTTCTTATTTTTTTACTAAAACCAAGTAATAGATTCCTTGCTTGCACTGACCTCTTAGGCTAACTAGCCATGCCAAACTTCTTAGCAACTTTTCTTTTTTAGTATATAATGCCTCATACCTCCTAAACTGGATCATGTTCATTCCTGCAAAATGGGTGCAGTCACGAGCTTCATGGGAAAGGGTGGATGATAATTTCACTCTTCTTTCATTTGCTCTATTTGTTTTGCACCTTTAGCTCTGAAATAAGTTTGACTCTTTATTCTCTGTCCTGAAAAAATGTAATTGATCCTTTTCGCACGATGATTCTTACCTCAAGATCTTTATTTGCTTTGATAGGTTTGCCAACAGCACAGATGTTGAGCTTGCTGATGGGGACCCTTCATAGGCAGTTTATAGAGAAAGATGTGAACAGCTTAGAGGATTTCCACATGGCAATTCTTGACATCTTCAGGTAGGAATTACCATTTAATTCTGTTCACGTGCTTTTGCTGCTGCTGTTGAATAAATAGTTTTAGTTTCATTCCTCTGATAGAATTTGCCGTATGCTTTTGTACTTTCCTTGATAAGGAACTTGGAATCTGGATTGTGAAAATTTAGCCTCATACATCTTGTTTTCGTCCAATTGAAAGGTGGTGGCTTGTTGGCTTTAACTTGAGACGGGAAATGCAGATTTTTTTTTTTTTTTTTAATGCGAATTGACAAATTGTTGAAGTCTCTTTCATTTTTCATCTGTCATCATCCAAAGTAAAATGTGTAAACCTCTTCTTATTACGGAATTCTTGGACTCACAGCCAAAAAATAGCCTGGAGATATATGTGTGCAAAATGTTGTTATATAACGTTAGAATGTAGTTAAGACTAGGAGCTTGAATGGATAAAGTGACTTTAATACCCCCAAAGCTAATTTTAGCTCCTTGCCTTCTACTTGTTTAAAACAAAAGATCCGAGGAAATAGATCTTAAATATGTACTAGAGGAAACAGAGATTCACAAGATTGACCAACTTCTGCGATTTGATTTTCAGCACCATCAATGCGGCATTACCTGGTAAACACTATGATGTTCCTCCTCTGAAAGATGTTGAGGTCTCTTTCTCTCTCTCTTCCTGGTGACCATGCATTTCTTAAGTAGGCCTGTTTCAAAGATCTCTCAAGCACACACTCATTCAGACACTCGCATTGAGAATTCCTGGTAACCATGGATTTTTTGAATAGGCCTATTTCAAAGAATGGAGTTCAGCCGACGATTCAAATAAGAAAAGGCTGTTCATGGAATTAATGCAGAACAGGCTGAATCTTAGCAAGTTAGATGACTCCACCATCATTACAGGGCTTGTAACACCTCCAGCAGCAATGGTAGCCAAACGCGCAGGCGAGACCGTGCCCCAACTGAAATTGATCAAGGCAATTCCTGATGTCGTTTTTGTGCCATCAGCCACAGTGCTTGCCCTTATTTCCGTGAAACTATCCAGGAAAATGTTTTTAGGACAAGTAGCATCTTGAACACATAACCACATCCCCGTCAATAGGTATACAATTTTCATTCTCTCATGATCCTTTAACTCACAATGTGATTAATTACAAGGATATTTGAATTGGTCCGATGTATCCGAGGTCCCAAGTTTTCCACCGCTGGTTAATAAATAATCTTGCTCGTTATGAGCTGCCTAGGTGAAAAGTCCCTTAAAAGAGAGAGGTCTAAATTTCACACGGCTGGTTGTTGTAGTACAAGACCTAGTTAATGCTGCCGCTTCCATCCGACAAATAAACTCTATACTGCATGTTACAAGCTACACCAAACACAAGCCCTACTGGAGATAATCCCTAAAAGGCATAAAAGCTGGTGAATAAAATTTTAGGTCATTGCTTTTCTGACGGTGAACGCTCACAAGAAACCTGGGAATCCTACATAATCTGGTAAAGAAATGGCTGGAACTGCAACTGTTACTGCACTAAACTAAGAGGGTAACAGTTGAGATAGAATTACAAGCACCAATTTGATCCTAAAAAGAGTGCAATTCACCGTTTAGGTTAATAAAGTTGTCAAATATTACGCTGAGGACATCTATCTTATTAATTTCTACTCAATCACATCTTATGCAAAATAGAACATTCCACGTATACACAACTAGTTCCAAGAACAGGTATGTACAGGTTCTCTGCAAAAAAAAAAAAAAGAAATACTTAGATAATATAGTGCGATAATAGAATTCCATGTACAAGTTCCTCAGTAGAGTACGCTACTTGCCAGGACTTTTAAACTCATCGTCCTCCCACCTGGTTTAGCAATTGAAAAGAGTAGTAATGTGAGAGCTAACTGGAGGATCTGCGGCTCCACCTCCCAGAGGAAGCCTTCCGTCTCCCCTTTTTCCTCCTGCTCTTGGTGGCAGTAAGCTTGGCAATGGACCGTACTTTTGGAGGTGGTTGATTATCTGTTTGCTGGTCAGGTCCAGCAATAACTGTAGTGACAGTGCTATGCGGCTCGTCCTTTGCTACCTGGGGCTTTTCCATAGGCTGCATATGGACTCCATCAAAATTGTTTCTATCTTGTTTCAACCTCTCATCATATATCAATATTTCGTCTTCATTCTGAAAGAAAAATGTACACAAATATATCAAGAAAAAGGATACACACTGACATACATACACAAATGCTAGAAGTAGACAGGATTTTAGGACTACTATGATGTCATACTGCTACAAGTAGCCAGGATTTCAGGACAATTATGAAATCATACTTCCCATTTAACCACAAGTTACAACAACTATTCCAACATTATGGTTTCCAGAAAGAGGGAAAGCAAAAAGCATTTGAATAGAATGATACACACAGCGCACACTCAACACAGCACTTCAAAAAGGGGAATTACAAGAATAGTGCCCATGCATCTGTAGGGGGAAATCAAGAAAAACAAGCCACATACTATATTGCAAAGAAAGAAACAGTAAAATGAGCAGAGGCATTAACTCAAAAATGCACGATCTGTAGAATTAAAGTCACCAAAGTACTAATAAATGTGAAGTAATTTGGCCAGGAGTAATTTTATGCCCACCAATATTCTTTTAACAGAATGAGTCAAATTCTTTTACGACAAAAAGTTGACCCCTAAAAGCATCCTGAAAATGAATAACAGCTTAAAAGGTAAGACAAAAATTGCTTGTACACCTAAGATGAGATAAATACCTTTATAAATGCACACCCGAGATGAGACTGATCCATGCCTTCAGTTACATCAGGGATATAGGACACTTCTCCAAGACTTGAGATTGCACCTTCAGGCATAATCACATTACCCATATTATAGGGTGACAAAAGCTGAGATGCAATATTAGAAGATCCTACTGGCATTCTGCCCCCATTATTTGGAGTAGAAGCAAGAGATCGAGCAGAGCTGGTCAAATTAGATGGTACAACCAAGCCCAAGTTATCCGCAGAAGAAAACTTTGCAGCATTTTCATTCATTACCTTGTCAAGTCTAAACTTCAGCTTGCTAAGTTGTGACTCTAAAAGCCAGATCTTCCTCAATAATTCCTCTGAAGAATTATCACCAAACCCCAATTCAAGCCACAACCTTTCATCACTGACTTTAGATTCATCATTGCCACTGATCTTATCTGCAGAGTTAACTACCAACAAAACTGAGTTAAAAACTTGGAAAACTACCAAACTGATATTCATGGATCATACATTACTAATTTTACACTGATGATTGGAAATCTTTCACCTAAAATTCCCGTAGCAAAACTAAGACTTTGTTTGTGAATGTAAAATTTTGAGTTATCCAATGATCTATTAAGTAATGGCTCAAGGAATTTTTTGTTTACTAATTCATTTGCAAGCAAGAGTACTTTAGTTTAGTTCCATTACAGAGATACAATACATCACTTGAGCACAGCTACATTGGATGCAATAGGTTGACAAACTGATTGAAAAAGTAAAAGGAGAAAAATTGTAGCCAAGAAATAAGCAATCATGCGGATAAATTCTGGCACACCAGTTGATTATTCCAGTAAAGCCGTCCAGGATAACAAGTCAGCAGACTAGGCTTGAGAAAAAACTCACAAGAGAAACATTTGGGATAAACAAGCCAAAGTGATCTTATCTTATGACAGTATGGAGGAAAAGTAAAAAACTTAAAACATTTGAAAACATAAATGATGACCTTAACAAGAATACTCAGTGTTTTGGCTAATCATTCATCTGACGTGAGTCAAAGCACACACTCATCAGTAGAGGACACTGTAAACAAGTCAAGTCTTACCTCGACTGGCCCAATCTTCATCCACACGAGCACCATCAGCAGTGTGAATCCTATTTTCTGTGAAATAACAATTGACAAGTTCATGGCCAACAGACACAAATAGCAGTAAAAATTCATATCAATTCAATAAAACAGGTAAACATTAGTACCAAAATAAGAAAACAGATTATGATGTGACATATATGATGTTACATCCGTTGTGTCTTCAAGCCTTCTTCTTTTCTTTCTCCTCATAACTTTATCTGTTGGACCATCAGTAGAACACGGGGGTGATTTTACACCACAACCTTCCAATGGCAAATTCTCCAATAGATAATGCTTTCTTTGATCATGATTAACAACTTCCCTGTCATACTTTAGAGCTTGAGATCTTAACTTCTTGACTTGTAATTCAACCCATTTACATCGCCACATAAGGGGTTGTATAAATGTCCTCCAGTGTGATGTCAATCTTTTCTTCCTGGAAGATCATTAACATGCAAAAACTGAATAAGAATACATATGGAACGAGTACCCAGTAGGTGTGCAGTGCAATTGTGAAACAATACAATGAATGAGCAAAGTCTTATTCTTCACACTAAGATGAGAGGGACAAAGCAGGCAAGGAATTAATGCATAGTTGTAAAACAATCTGTCCACTATTTTTTTTTCTGTAATTAAAATTTATTTTTCAGACAGAGAGACAGAGACAAATGGTTTCACATTTCAGCTCATCAAACTACTATCATGAAAAGTATCTCATAAATAAGTTGGCAAAGGGAAAGGGGATGGACAAGATTGAGTTTATAGTCCACCCAAGCATCAACTGATACCCTACAATTCCATCCTACCTCCAAAACCAACACAAGCCCCATCATATGCACTGGATGCCTTTCTGATGGTATTTTCTATGGACACATAGAATGAAGATGGAGACATTCAAATGAGTAATATAACTTTACTTGCATCTAGTCACTGAACTATGTTAATGAATTCTAAACAACTAATTACATTATTGTTAGATTTTACAGCCAAAAAAGAGATTTCTATGAATTTAGCTTCTTGAAGCAAGACTTTGATTTTCTTAGTATCAATCATCCGCAACATAAAAGACAGGAAAGCTCTACAAATGACTAATACCTCGTCCGGAATATGTCATTTAGTCGATCAACTGCCAGGGAGGAGGAACTGTAACCATGTAAGCCTGATCCTACTTCAGCATCACTAGTGTCTACAGCAGCTTCAGAGTCAGAATCTGTGTCATCAAAAGAACTCGAACTGAAACTGTCTGTTGCATCTTGGCCTTCAGCTTCAACCAGCCCATTGCCATCAGAAGTTGCAAGTCCTGTGATGTTAACTTCCACATCCTTATTACAGTTACTCATTTCCAAGGCACAGTCATCACAGTTGCTTTCAGACTTCACGTACTCATCTTTAGAATCTATAGAAAGCACTCGATTCTCCTTCCCCCATGAGGGTGTAACACCATATGATCTTGCCTTGAGCTCTAACTCTGGACCCATGGCATTATACAACACAATCAGGGTGCCTTCCAGATTATCACTAAACAATTCACTCAGATCACCTACAGCACAATCAAATTATTCAAAATAGACTTATCAGGCGAGCAAGGACAGAAACAACTTTTGATTAAAGTGTAAAAACTTTTGTATATGTTGAACTAGTATGTGTAAAACGCCGGCCAGTTAAAACATCACTATACACCCCCATGACTCCTAAACGAAACCAGTTATTTGAAAATCATGCAAAAAATAAATAATAATTACATAAATAAAATAAAAGAAGAAAAGAAGCAGAAGAAGGAAGAGGAAGAAGAAGAAGAATGCCCACTGTTCTAAATATTTTTAAGCACCTAAACAGTGAGACAAAATGATGCCAAGAATCTAACTTACTTAAGCAAACAAATAGTTCTCTCCAGTAATGCGTCCAGAAAAAGTTCATTTGTAAGTAAATTAGGAATAATGAGAATAAAAGATTGAACATTTTAAAACTGCATATAAAACATTGGGGTGTTTGTGGAATTATCAAATTCTCACTACATGGCTGGCAACAGATTGATCATGCCTTTTTAGGTGCCATTTGCTAGAAATAGTACTTATATCTTATGAAATTAGCTCTACAACAAATACCTCAGTTAATCATCATCAATGGCTAGGCAAACAACTACAGATATAGAGTTCCTTATACTTCAATCCACTCATGGCTAAAAAATTCAGAAAGAGGCACCCTAATAATCCAAAA